GAACGGGGGGGGGGGGAAGGGGTCTTACACAATAAACAAACCCAAGGGAGGGAAATAATGAAGGAGTCTCCTGGCAATGATTGTCTAGTCATCTTTATCATGACTTTTTTTTTTTGCATTAGTTTCAAACACACCAGCCCACTTGCAGAAAGCTATTTTGTAGAAAAATGGAGAAAGGCCCACAGACAGTGCACAAATGGCTGTAGTCATGTCTGTGCACTGCTGTTCTATATATTTAACTTCTGCCTAACTTGGCCTGTAGTTGCCAAAGTGAAAGCATGTCTCCTCTGCTTCCACAAAATTGTACTGCCTTTCTTGAACCACATTTTAAAGGTATGTAACTTTGTTGTTCCCTGTAAGCCCATCCCCCTTTATTTTTTACCTTCCTGTTTTCAAGCCTTGACACTCTGAACACCTGAAGATATATTAGCTTGGACCAATTAAAAACAAAAGTAAAGAGGGGTAGAGGAAGAATGTTGTTTCTTCTTCCTGCTTGCTCTGTTCCCGATTGCATTTGAATGTTTTATTACCCTTTTAACTGAGTATAATGAGAGGGTAATTTCCACTCCTTTGCAGAGGCATGCAGGGTTCTTCTGTTTAGCCCTTGCGGATATGAGAATAATGCACAAAAGTGCCAGAGTCATTTACCTGCAGCAAAAAAATGCCCCATCCCTGAAGAAACTTTGTGATGGGGGGACATGAACAACTTAAAATTTAGCAGCCTCTATCCTATCCAGTACCCTGTGGTTAATCGCGGTATTGCTCATTTCCCAGAGGGATTTTTAGTGAAATGTTAGGTGACTGTGGGCTGGGCTGCTAGCTTACTTGGCATTCACTCGATTAGGAAGTTGGAAGTTAGTTCTGCAGGTCATTACATGACATAACAAGTGCCTTGACCTGGGTTGAGCTTGCGTGGTATGCTGCTACGGTCCTCCCTTCCTGAGGCTCGGTCACTTCATAAATAACTGGATTTGCTGGTCAGTGTGTGATTTTGGCCAAATATATCCTTTATTTTTGTTTCTACTGAACAGCACTATCCATGCATACTCATCCAGTTCCATCCTCAGTGCCTGAGTGCATGAGGAAGCATGATTGTGAGAGGGATGATGCTCGGCACTCCCCTTACCCAGTCCTGGATGCTTTGAAAGACTTACTGACTCTTGTTTCCAAGGCTTTTCTAAAGGAAGGTGGAGAAATGTCCTGCCATTTGAACTGAGTTACTGGGCTATGTCTGCTAATTATTTATGACTTGATGTCATTGAGAAAGTAAGGAAGCTGAGGTTGCTAATCTCCGTGAAGGCTAATTTTGGTGTTTTCTGGGTTTCTTCTTCACTGTACTGCATTTTCCTCCTCTGGATAATTACAATCTAGCTGCCCTAACTTGAGAACCATTTCTGTCCAATATATGTAGGTGCTATTGTTACCAAATACTCTTGTTAGTGTTTACATTACAACATTGTTATATTTATAAATTGGAAATTTCAGCGTCAGTTTGGTACTTCACATACTGAGCTTTGGAATAGTAAGCTTTAATAATGATATTAAGAAAGAAGTAAATTTCTGTACTATAGTATTACAAGAGGAATTTGTCGTAGCATCGGTCACCAGGTGGCACTGCTACATATAGTCTTAATACACGGTCATTCTTGGAGAGCCTGTCTCACAATGGGATAAGGACTTCTGGTTTTCTCCCTTGTGTAGCTTATATCAGAAACTGTACACGTCATGTCACTGTAACTTCCATCCCACTTCTCACATTCTAGGGAAATACTCTTAACTTGTGTTAATTATTAAAAAGATGAGCATAAAGATTTCCAGTGACATAAACAACATTCAGCATTTGAATGATAACAGAATATATACCACGCGTCGTACGTTTGCAGTAGCTTAGAACAGTAATTTAATTATACTAACATTTCTCCATTATGACTTGCTCTTTAAATCCTATCATGTTACCTTTCTGTTGGAGCCTGTTCTCGTTTTACATTTTTTTCCCCTGTTTATACATCTTGAATAGATTTTTTTTTCCTAGATCTGTATCTTGTTCATACAATAAGCATTTACATTTCTCCAAGGTTTTCATGCAGTTTAACCACTCTAAAATCCTTCTTCCATATTGTTATGCAGCCTAGTTTCCAGTGTCTTTATGCCACACTTAGGAATACACTTCTCTGCCAATGAAAGGGGCCCTGTTGCTTAATTCCCCCGTGAACTACCTCTGAATCTGAAAAATAATGTTCTGATGTTCGTGATACTACTGAAGCTGCAAAGAATTCTTCTGTTCCTCATTAATGGGGCCAGAATGTCATCGCTGCTG